AGTTGGCGAAACCTTCGAAAAGGATGACGCTGTGCAGCAATCCCGGTGAAGCACCTCCCGTGTTGATGGTGCTCACCTCGGACAGGGGGTGGCCGTACACGCTGAATGGGCCGCATAGGTGTGGTAATGACTTGTGTGTTAACTGTGAGGTGGATCGAGTGTGGCAGATCGTCAAGGGCGATCTAACTAAGTGGTTTAGCAATTTTCATTTGACTCTCAATCCTTCACCCGTGCCGCATGTGCTGATTGGGACGCCCGGGATCGGGAAGTCGATGGCTGCCGGCTCTTACCTTCTTTACCAGCTGCTGCACTGCGATGTGGACAAACTCCAAGTGGTTGTCCACTGTTTTGGAGAAACGGCGTACGTGTTTGACAAGACCGCCAAAACCGTGACAAAATACATGGGTAACTTAACATCCAAGAGTGTTTTGTATGGTTTGTGGAAGAGTGGGATGAAAGGGTATATTATTTACGATGTGGCAAAGAAAGGAACACCGCCCGACACAGATATTGCGCCCTGTACTGGATGGGGCATGATTGTAGTGTCATCGCCAAACCTGGACAACTATGATAAATGGACGACGCAAGTAAGTGCCAGTCGAATCATCATGAATTGTCCTGATAAAGATGATGTGAAGGCGATGTGCGTTTGGATGAAGCAAAATCGACAGCTTGCGGAGGAAGAAGCGGAGGAAGAAGCGGAGGAAGAAGCGGACTACTGGAAAAAGGTGGAATGTCGAATGGATAAAGTGGGACCGGTTATTCGCTACATCTTTGATCAGAGACCATACAAAGGTCGGATTGTCTCGTGCGAAAGTACAGTTGATAAAATGGCCTTGCAGGACACCAACTATTACACTGTTTTGGGGACTGGTAAAATGTGTGGTAACTACGTCTCTGACAAACTTGTGAAGGTCGTACGAGTACGAGGAAGTGAGGGTTCCGAATTGCCTTTAAATGCACTGATTTCTTCTCACCTTGCAGAATTAACGTTATGTAAGTTGGCGACGTTAATGCAGCAGCGTGATTTTAATTTACTCATATTGGCCATCGAGGACGATCTCATATCAAAAGCCCTTGAAGATCATTCCTCGTTTGCATTTTTAAGTGCGGCCTTTGTAAAAGCAATAATACCGAAACTCACGGAGCTGAAAATAACAGCAAATGCTCCGCCACACCGTTGTGCGTTGAGAGTGTGTCCACATGAGCGCCCCTTCAAGCCCTGTCTTTTAGAGTGCCTGGAAAAATTTAAAAAGAAGATTAATATAGAGTCTCGGGTGCTGTACAAACCGGAGGCTCAAAACTTTCCGCTGGTGGACGGCTTTTTCTTTTCGGACTCAAATCCGAAGACGTTGGTTGGGCTGCGGATGGCTACGGCGGGTGAACACCACACGACAACCAGCACTGTGCGGCAGTTCACTGAGTGCCTGGCGGCATATTTTAATGGTTGGGAGGAATTTTCTGAAGGATTGTCGTGGGAGATGATTTATGTGCAGCACGCAGAAAGCACGCCGATGATTGAATGGCAGAGATGTGATGTCGTCAATTCCGATAATGTGAGCCGCGCTGAAAACCGAGAGATTGCGGCGTTCTGGGAGGAGGAGGTGCGCCAGTACCAAGTGTCTGTATCATCCAGAGACTTTCCACGAGAAGAAGCTCTCTGAGGTGTGGAATAACAACAACAACAGGAAACAGATTAGGAAATGAAAAGTGAAAGAGACATTTTGATTTGTGGTAATTTTTTTTTTTTTTAAATATATATTTAGACACTTGTCTGTGCATGCGGTGCGGGTGCACCAGCACCAGGTGACAGTGTTACAAAAAGATGTCAAAAATGACCAAAGCCATCGAAAATAACAGTGGCAGAAGAAATTAGGGAGGGAAAGGGGTTGCTTGGTTTCTGGTGAAAAACATTGGGTGGTTTCTACATGTAGCATGTTAATTGTGTGTGTGTACAAGAGGCGTAATCGGAGAATTGCCCCGGTATGAGGGAGTCATTGTGGCTGGCGGTGTCGCAGTACTACTGCATTGTCCATTTTCTTCTATTGTGCTCTAAGACCCATCACTAACAGAAGCGTCTTAAAGGGATGGACGACGAATAAGTTCTATTTGGGAAATGGCGCACTCCGTGTGACCGCATGGAATGAGGCGTCGCGTCATGGCTGGGTGCGGAATCGATTCCGCGTGTGGCTCCTTGAGAGCTCATTTCGTGTGCGCTGTTTGTTGGCTGCGGGCTGTGGCCGTATCCCGTTGGCCGTGGGACTGAACTGGAAGCAGTGGCGCTGTGTCTTTTCTCGTTCTTGTCCATTGGTGTGTGACTGCTGGCGGCGTGTGCCTTCCTTGTGTGGAGGGCCGAATCCTCTCGCCCGCGGACTGACAGAACTGCGATGGTGTGTGTGTGTGTGAGGGCTGGAGTGGAGTTGCCGGCCAGGGAGAGGGCCGTGGCGGTGCTTTTCCCGAGACTGGTGTTTGTTCCTTCCGTGTGTGTTTGCGCTGCTTCTTGCTTTTCCTCCTCTCACCCTTTTTTCCTGTGTTCCTGCGTGGAGTGGCTGCATGCTCACGGGCCATGTTGATTGTGAGTGCGTCGTGACGGCATCCATTCATTTCTCTCTCTCTCTCTCTGTCTGTCTGTCATTCTCTGTTGGGTGTGGCGTGTTGCACCGCGTGAGGGCTGGCCCGCACACACCGACGGCCCGCCGTGGCTTGCCGTGTTGCTGCTCTTTTCTGTAGGCGATGGTCCTCCGTGCCGTCCCTCCCGGATTCTCTTGTGCCCCACTCTCTGCGTGGGTGCTCTGCTCTGCTCCTCACTGACCTTTCTGGTGTGTTGCCGCTGCTGTTGCTGTTCTCTCCACTTCTTGAACACAGACACACGCTAGGAAAGAAATCAAACAAGCGCTACTCGCTACTGTGAAATTGTAGGGCACTGAAAGGACCAACAGCACACACACCGCCCACACACACACATATTTATATGCTCTCACGTATTGCTGCTGTGATGGCACCCCGCACACACAACCGTCGCTGCGTGACCGGATCCAGCGGAAGGAGGAGGGAAGGAAGGGGGAAGGAAAGGCCGTTGATCCTTTTCAGGGAACGACACTGGCGCCCTATAAATGGCAAGAAATGACTGGATCCGAGGCGGCAGCCGGCTCGCTTCGTGTTCCCAGCCTTGCTGAGGGGGCCGGCGGTGTGTTTGCCGTTGCTGAAGCTCAGGGCAGTGAAAGGGACAGAGCCTGCGGCCATGCTGCGATTGCAACAACGTACATTGAGCCGGGCGATGGTGGCTCAAAGGCGATCTCGGCGATGGATGCAGGCGTTTCTCTCGTAGAACTCGTGGATGCCGCCAGTGGTACGACCAGGGCACGAGAAAAGATGCAGCCAACGACAATTGTGAGCGGCAACAGTGTCTACATGGCCCTTGGGGACTACGAGAAGAAGACGTCTGGGGGTCAGGTTGCCGATGCAGATGGCTGGAGGCTTTTACTGACGCGGGGAACTCTCACTGAGGATGGTGGGCAGAGGAAAATCATGTGGGATGATATCCGTGCAGTGGACCCTGTGGCCATCGGGCTTACTCAATTCCTGAAGAGGGTGATCGGTGGCGGAGGATCGGGTATTGTGACGAAGAACGGTTACCCTGTGCTTCCCATGCAGGCAGTAGAAAAGGTTGGAAGGAGTGTTTTACTGTCCATGCGTTTCAACATGCGTATAGAAGCATGGGAGCTCTCGTCCGGTACGACAGGTAGTAATTGCAAGGAACCATCCATCGCGAACTTGGAAGGAAATCTAATTTTAATTACTTCTTGCGCTGCCGGCTACTACGAAGTATTCAGGTCCATTGACTCTGGGATACGTTGGGACATGAGTGGTAGGCCAATTACTCGCGTGTGGGGCAACTCGTATGGTCGAAAAGGGTATGGCGTTCGCTGTGGCCTCACCACCGTAACCATTGAGGGAAGGGAAGTGCTGCTAGTTTCCACGCCGGTGTATTTGGAGGAGAAAAAAGGGTAGGGGTCGGCTTCATCTTTGAGTGACGGACGGCGCACGTGTGCATGATGCTGGGTCGATATCCGATGCAGCTGATGACGCTGCTGCCAGTTCCCTGCTGTATAGCAGTGGGGGCGGTCTGATTTCGCTGTACGAGAATAGGAGTGAGGGGTCATACGGTCTTGTTGCTGTGCACGTGGCTACGCAGCTGGAGCGGATAAAGACTGTGGTGAAGAGGTGGCAGGAGTTGGAGTGAAGCCTTAAGAACGTGCAGACCCACTGCCACTGTCGGCCCGGTGAAAAGGGGCATGTGTATTCGTCCCATTCTTACTGACGGGCTTGTTGGCTATTTGTCTGGTCTGTCAGCTGGGAGTGAGTGGATGGACGAGTACCTCTGCGTGAACGCGACTTTTCATGGGACGGTGAGAGGGTTCTCCAATGGAGTGACGTTTGAAGGACCCGGAGCAGGGGCGGGGTGGCCTGTTGCCCGAAGTGGACAGAATCAACCGTACCATTTTGTACACAAAAGGTTCACTCTGGTGGTGATGGCAGTCATCCACGATGAGCCGAAGAAACGCACCCCCATTCCTTTGATTCGTGTGGTGATGGATGACGGGGACAGGACTGTGCTATTTGGTGTGTTTTCACCCATGATGGGGGGTGGATGACTGTAATTCATAGTGGCGGTAGACAAATACTTCCAACAGGGTGGGACCCAGGAAAACCGTGTCAGGTGATGCTGCGACACGACACGGGCAATTGGGGTTTGTACATTAACACGAGGGCGGCTTACCTTGGCACCCACAAGGGGTCTCTTCTCCAAACAAACAGTATTTCACACATCCAATTCCGCGGGGAGGGTGGGGAAGTTGCAGAATCCAGCCATTTGTCACTCTTCAACGCCCGTTTGTATAACCGAAGACTCAATTCCAAGCATATAAGATGGCTCATGGTCGGCGAGGCGGGCCAAAATACGATGATGGCAGCTCTTATTCTGCGAGTGCGTCGGAGGAAGGAAGCAGAGGCGACAGCTCCAATTCTGAGAGTTCATCGCGGGTGGAAAGTGGAGAGGTGAGCCTTGTGCATGGGAATGTGTCTTGGGTGCTGTTACTTCTGCTGGGGCTTTGCGGCTCTTTACTGATATTAAAACGGCGTTGTTGCTGTCTCCGGCGGTGCAGTGTATATTTACATGCTGATGGTTTTTACATATTTTATTGCTGTTGTTGGCGGGCTTATAAAATTTTATATTTTTATTTTTGATTTTCATTTTCGTAAAATAATAATCATAAAAGTAATAATGATACTTGCCATTATTATTGTTATTATCCAATTTTTTACATTTAACGACCTGCGTGAAAATTGCGTTGAGTGCGTAGTTTTTTTTTTTTTTCCGTTTCTTCCGTAATTGTTCCTTTATTTATCCGCTGCTTGGGCTGCCGTGCCGGCTTGAGTTGTGCCATATATATATATTTTGAATTTTTTTTTTTGTGACCTCTGCGGTAATTATGTGCGTATTTGCCTCTTGGCATGGCTGCCTTCTCTTTTTTTTTTGCCTTTACGTCTCTGCAGACATACAACCACCCTCGCACGACACGTGTAACGTTTTATTTTACGTGGATGGTCCTATCTTGCCGGCAATTGCATGTGGGTGCTGCGTTCTTCTGCGGCTACGAAGGGGGAACATGAGAGGGCGGTGCGCATGACCTCATGGGACATGGCGTGACGCCGTTGGAGGGCCCCGTGAGGCGTCCGCGGTTTTGCGGGGAAGAAGAAAATGAACCCGCTGGAATAGCTGCCGCCGGGCCCGTTCGTGCTGGACGAGTTGAAGCGCGAGTACAGCCACACGGACACCCGCACGGTTGCTGCGCCGTACTTCTTCCAGCACTACGATGCCGCCGGCTGCAATACTTTGCGGTGCCGCCACAAATACAAGGAGGAGAACAAGATGCAGCGCATGGAGCACGTGTGTGAGTATTGCGTGGCGGTGGCATGCCGTAGGCTATGGAAGAAGTGGAGGACACGGAGCTGTTGGACTGCGGGAGGAGGTGGCGGACGCAGCGGGGGAGGATGACGGGCTATGCGTGCTGCAGGTGAGTTTTTCTAAAGAGGGAGTAACGCTGACGGTAATAGTGACTGTGAGGGTGTGGGGAAGGGGGCGGTAGATCAGCACTCCTTTCATTGTTGTTGTGGTGGTGCGTGACTCTCATTGCTGGATGGGACGGTGCGGTGCCGGCGGTAGGTGATGGCGGAGGCCAATGTCGATAAAGGTACCGAAATGAAGGAAGATGAAAGATTTGACAGTTCAGAGCCTGTTGCTGGTATTGTTGGTGCCGAACAACATGTAACGCAGGATTCAGTCAAGGAAGGTCCCGAAAACGGAAATGGCATCACCAGGATAATGGTGTGATCATGGCATCGCCAGCAAGCACAGTGAGAGGGAAAGAAGAAACCGGAGGAATTGAGGGACCCAAAAGCTCAATTGAAGGCGATGAAACATCCCAATTAACATTGCCGCAAGAAGGAGTACCACCACCATCAGAACCATTAGCAACGACACTGAGTGTAAACCCAGCCGGAACTTTAAATGCAACACCAGCGAAGGGACAGTCCAGCTCTGATGACGGCTCCGCCCAGGAAGAAGGACTCAAATTACCAACACCAAAAGCACCTGCAGCAGCAGCGGCAGAAGCAACAACACAAACAAAAGATGAAAACCCCTCCTTTGCAGATGACCCTTCAGTGCAACATGTAGAAGCATCTCAACACCACATGGAGTCAAGAAGTGCCTCACGAAAAGAAGGAACCATCCCCACCACAGTCACCATAACAGACGGACCAACAGAAGTTAGCGCCGAATCAACTCCAACATCACCCTCAGCTTCCAAAGGTGCCATCACAAATGACGCTGACAAAGGAAATGAAGAAGGCATTCCAAAACATGATCAAGCACCTGATGTTGAAGCGAAGAAAGAGGCACAACAAGGTGAAGATAAAGAAGAAAATACAAATAAAACGGCAACTGTCGAAGCCGCAGCTATAACAAATGATGCTGCGACTATTGGCGACAGTGACGGCAGCACCACAGTTTCCCACACCACCTCCCCTCTTTTGCTTCTTCTTCTTGTTGTTGCGTGTGCGGCTGCTGCTGCGGTGGTGGCCGCGTGAGAGGGAGTGTGAGAGAGCCATGCACCGCCCGCACACACACTCGTCCTTCTCTCTCTGTGTGCGTGTCCCCTTGCATGGACTCTCGCCCTCACCTCACCCCACGAGGCACACACAATAATGTGCCCATTGTATATATGCATGCACACCCATGCAGGCCCGTTGGTGCTCTCTTTTGCACGACACGCACCGCTGCCGTCCTGCCTGGCTGCATGGGCGGAGCACCGTAACTGTTTCTGTTTTGTTTTTATTGCATTGAGTGGGCGACCTCTCTCTCTCTCCCTCTGTGTGTGTGTTTTGCTTTACGGGAGTAATGAGAGTGTGTGTGCGCTGGTCGTCCCACGCCTCAGCTTTTTGTTTTGAATCTCTGCTTGTGTTGTGGTTGAATGGGCGTATTTTCATTAACCATCATTTGTTTTCTTGTGTGGTGACGTTTGTGTTTCATTTTTCTTTCAATCAATCAGTCTTTGTTGCCTCAGCAAGCCAAGAAATACTTTTCCAACAGTCACGCCGATGGTTCAGTGGCTCCTCGCCTCACCGTGCCCTGCAGCGCTGCCATTGCTGCTCATGATGTTGACTTTGATGTGTTGTTCCAGCGGGTGCTTTGCTGCCAGCCTGACGTACCATTGCTCCTTTGACAAAGCGATGCGTGTCGACAGGACGAAATCGATGCCGGTGGTGATGAAAAACGTGCCTTCGGGAACGGGAAGTGCGTCGCAGACATACACCGTAATCGGGAGGAATGGATGGGCACCCATCCGCATCAATGTGTCCACAAATGACCTGTATAATAACAGGATGTATTGCAGCACAGATCATTCTTATGTGAAAAATTTATTGACAGACTATTACGATTGCCAGGGCAATGCTTTTTCCAGTAATAAGAGGAAAATCCTCATCGACAATGTTGTCCCTGCAGCTGTCAAACTGCATGCGGATCGTCTGCTCGTCCAGCCACTGGAGCGTCCGTTGGTTGTGCCCCAATTTGCCACGGGCAGTGTTTGCAGTCGTTTCACTGTGCCTTCTGAGCATCGTTCCAAGGGCGTTGCCAATTCTGACATGGTGCTGTACGTGGCTGCAGCGCCGGGTGGTGTGTGGGCACTGCCGTGCGCCACGCTGGAGGATGGCCGTCCAGTCGTTGGCGTCATGAACATTGCCCCGGCCGTTTTATTTCACGGACGCCTCGCCACCCGCATCGCCGCGCACCTGATGGCCCATGCTCTCGGGTTCGCCCACCCGCACATGGCCAGCCGCAGCATGGTGAGGAATGTTACCGGTGTGCGTGGCAGGGCGCTGTCGGTGGTGGTGAACTCGACGAATGCCGCGATGGCTGCGAGGGAGCACTACGACTGCGATGACATTTATGGCATGGAGCTACAAGATCAAAATGGGGACGGGAGTACGCTGGAGTCGCACTGGTCACAGCGCCACGCGAAGGATGAGTTGATGGCACCGATTGGGGGCGCCGGCTACTACACGGAGCTGACGCTGGCTGCATTTGCTGATCTGGGCTACTTCAAGGTGAACTGGAAGTTGGCGGAGCCGATGGGTTGGGGCAAGAAGTCGGGCTGTGAGCTGCTGCAGAAGAGGTGCTCCGAACTGAACCTGAGTAAATATTCCCACATGTTCTGCAACATAAACGATGGTGTCAAACGCTGCGCGTCGGATCGGTATTCCAGTGGTTGGTGTCATTCGAGTATCGTTGAATTGTCAAAAAAGTACCCAATGGACAGTTGCCCCATCACTGATCCCGCACTGGACGTGAGGGACCTTGAGGCTGTTTTTGAGAAGGGAGAATATTTGTCTGCGAGGCCCGGGGATAAGCCCTCTTCGTGGTGTCTGGACACGCTTCCCACCAACACGACAGATGCGAGGGACCCGGAGGAGACGTATCTGAGTGCTGCCATGCATGCGGAACTGAAGTGTCTTGGCGGGCAGGTGCATCTGAAAGTTCCCAAAAGTCGTTACGTCGATTGGTTCCCATGCACAGACGGGGCGACGATTACGTGGGACACACCACCCTACAATAAGGAAAACGTCATTTGTCCTGAGTACGCGGAGGTGTGCACGATATCCGCCACCGGCGGCAGTGTCATTCCCGTGCTTTCATGGGACAACGAGGAGAGGGCGTGGGGCAGGACGGTACGCCCGGAATTCTTGAAACAAAGTTCACCAGAGGCGCCCGTCCCTGTTGCAGAGAGTATTGGGTCCGGCCATGGCACCGAATCGGAGAATGTTGACTCAGCTGCTCTTCAGTCGAAGCCATTGCCACAGGGAGACGCCGAGGCTGCCGTGGCGCAACACGACCACCAAGCGGGAAACAATAACAGCACTCCAACAGGCAGTGAGAGGGAAGCAGCACCAGCCGCCTCCGGCGAAAACAACAATTCGCCTACGGCCGCTGTTGCAGGAGCAGGTGATTTTGAGACAACGCACAGCGAGGATTTCTTCACTACGGAAGTGGAAAGCCCGATGGGGGAGGAAGAACAATCCGCGCCGGAGGAGGGAGCAAACCCAACAACCCTGCAGTCAAGGGAGACCACTGAAGATGGTGATGCGCAGCCAGTACAAGAAAGCATGGCGTCTCTGGCTGGAAGTGAGGGATTGCTGCCCAAACAAAGCGAGGCCCCTGTTCCAGAAAATAACCACTCCGAATCCGGGAGCGGCGCGACCCAAGAGGACCGCCTCGCCCTGCTCAACGACGCGAAACTGATACTGCGTGATTGGAATGTCGACAGTACTGCGCGTGTGTGCGTGTCGCGGGTTTCGATGCTTCTTCTTCTGGGACTGTGTGGAGCTGTGGCAGTATTGTGAGGCAACGAGTGTGGCATTGCGACTCCCGACGGAGAATACGTGCCGCTTTTCTTGCGGTTTTTGATGTTTTTATTTAATGCTTTTTTTTTTCTTTTTTAAAAATATTTTTCCACTTTTCAGTTGTTTTTGGTGTTTTTTCGAATACTCAGTTTCTTTTTTTTTTTTTTCTTATGGTCGTTTGCTACAATCCGTTGTGAGTGACGTGTTTCCGACTTTTGTTTCCCTTTTGTTGCCCACTCGCGGTGCCGGCGTCACTGCTGCGCTTCCGGCGGACTGCACAAAACGAGGAGTGGGGGAGCAGGCCGGATGCCGCATGGAATATAAGGGATGTTGTGTGGGCTGGTGGGAGGGTACAATTCCTTTTTTTGTTTTCTTTTTTGTTTGTGCAGGGAATATGCATACGCCCCCGATCTTCTTGTGCTGCATGGCACATGAAAGTCCTGCCGAATCAATTTTTTTTTTTTTTTGTGTTTAAATGTTTAAATGTTTTCATTTTTTTTTTTTTTTACGCCCCCATCTCCTTTTTTTGCTTTTGGGGCAGTCACTATGAACGTTTTTTCTTTTCTACTCTTCCCTCTTTTAATTGTTTCATGCTGCACTCTTCCTGCGAGGGGTGCTGTGTGTTTCCGCCCAACTGCTCCACTCGCACACCCACCGACACGCTCGTGACGACGGCCCTGTGCGCCTCGCCTGCTGCACGCATGAGGAGGGGCCGCGACGAACGGCGCGCTGAGGGAGCCGTGACGTGTGGGCGTGCGACGAGGGCCTGTGGGGCGGAGCACACATTTCTTCCCTCTTGTTTTGTTTTCTTGCGACCAGGGCGGGCAGACACCCGCAGCGCCACACACACACAGCCACACCCTGCCGCCGTGTTTTTTTTGCTTTTTTCGCTGCGCTCACTCTCCCGATGGAGTGACGCGACTCCCGTCATGTCTGCGTGCTTCTCTCAGTCCACACACACAAGAAGAGTGACTGTGCTCTGCGGGCCGCACTCACGCGCCGATGGGAGGGCTGAGGGGAGCAGCAACACGTGGATGACCCCATGAAATATGAACGATGTGCGGACACACAGAGGGTCGGACGGTTGAAAGACATTTAAATACCTTTTAATTTTTTTCGGGCAAAATATATGCAGACAGTTTCTGGAGCAACATGGTGGTTGGGTGCTTTCTTTGTGTGGTTTTTCTTTTTTTTCATTTTTTCATTTTTTCTTTTCAAAGTGTGAGGTGTGGAATGGTGAAGATGAATTTTTTTTTAATTTTAATAATTTTTTATGAATTGCCGCTGCTTTGTCCGCAGTGCAGTATCATGAGCTTGAGCAGTCCTGTTATTTCTGCCATGGGCGTCCGCTGTACAGTTTTTTTTGTGCGTCCCTTCACATGCTCTGCTCCTGTTTTCACTTCTTTGCCTCGTGTTTCTGCAGGCACACAACCACATGCACGCACAAGATGCACATTTAATTTGATTTTGATGCTTCTTTTTTAACGTGTGCTGGCGGCTGCGGGTGGCTGCTGCTTCATCATTCCGTGGACATGAAGAGAAGGAAGAGACAGTGGGAGTGCGCCGCGGCTCTCATCCCCTGTGGGAAGGTTGTGCTGCGTGTGGCGGCATTGCTTTTAAACGCCGAACCAACACGCACGAGGACATGACACGGAGCGGAAGACTTCTCCTTTGTTTTGTGTCTGCTGCTGTGGGTGTGGGTGCATCCACGCCGGACTTGTCGGCACGATGGCCGCAGCGTGTGGCTGTCGCTCTCTTCTCTCGAGAGATATGCCGCGACGCTTTCCCATGTGTGTTGCTTCGGGGACAATGTGCCAGCGGCTGTGCGATTGCCGGATGGAGGGAGAGGTGTGGAGGGAATTGCGTGAGCGCCGCTGTCAGGAGTCGCGCTGGGCGTCTTGCCGCGGAGGGCATTGCCCACCCAACGCAGCACCGCCCTGTCGGGCACCCTCTATCACTCCGCAGCATCGTAGTCGACGCCACCAGCACACGGCGAGGCAGCGGATGCCACCACCGCCACGAGTGCGACCGGAAGGAGACACGTCCGCTGTTGCGTTCCGAGGAGTCACATCGTGTGGCACAGCGGCGTGCCCAAAACCTCCTCGCGGACTCCGCACACGACACCGGGCAGTGGACGCTGAGTGTTTGCGTCGTGGAGGACACCGCGGTGGAATCCCTCCTTTCCTCCGGGTGGACGGTCGGCTGATTTTCCTCTCGTTCTTACCCATGAGGGTTTATTTTTTCTTTTTTAGCTTAAGAACTCTTGCTGTGTTGGGGCGCGGCTTTGGAAAACCCATCACCTTTGATGGTGGGCCTGTGCTTCCGTTCGGTTTCTCCCCTTTACCACATTGTCGCTTTTTAAATATTTTGTGATGACGAGTGGGGTTGCAGAAGACACGCTGAGGCGCTGGGCTTCATTATCGATTCATTTATTTGATTTTTTTTTTTTTTTTTTACCTGGTGCGGTTTGCGGTGTCTCTGATAGCCTTCCCGCATGGAGGGCTTTGTTGGGGCGCTCGAGCCTTTTTGTGCGGACGGAAGGCCAAGGACGTTATCCATGCGTGGCCATTGCGCTGGAAGGAATCTTTTTTTTTACGCATTGACACGGAGCCATTCCTGCGCACCTTCTTTTTCTTTTTTACTTCTTTTGCTTTCTTTCAGGAGATGCTCCCTTGGCTTTGCCTCCAACGGGATATGCGCGGAGTTACACGCGTTTAAAAAACCGAGGCCACGAGCCCTTTTCGGAAAGGATGCTTTATCTTTCTTCTCAGATTAAATTTGTTGTCCATTTTGATTTGTTTTTTTTTTGGAGTGGAGCCCCTACTTGGCGACGATCCCACGTATGGTTTGGTGCTGATCCGACCAGGGCGGACTATATCCACTGCGTCGGGGAAAGGCTTCTGGTGGACCCAACGACACGGCGGCTGGGGGGAAATAATAACGGGACGGTCGCTATCCCGTTGATGGTGGCCCCGCTGATGCTCGATCTGATGGACTTTCGGAGGATGATGTGCAACATCAGTGTGCCCATCCGGCTGTTGGTTTTGGTGCAGAACGGGCGGGAGGCGATGCTGTCGTTGTGCCTGCAGGAGCTCGAGAGGGTCCATGGGTGGTCCGGACGCCTGGTTGTGAGTCGTCACCCGGAAAACATCGGGTACAGCGCTGCCGTGAACATCGGGTCACGACTTGCACTCTCGCTGCCGCGCGAGGAAGTGCCTTTTGTTTTTGTGACAAACAGCGACGTAATGTTTTCACCCGATCTTCTTCCCAACCTTCTACGCGATGTGCATGAAATGACGAGGCATGATGCCGCTCGCGTGGATGAGTTGTCGGCGGAGGTGGCGAATGAGCCGAGCGAGTACAGTCCTGTTTTGCGACGGGGCTTGAGGGTGCTGCGCTCCACGGTGAACGATAGCCGGTTGTCGACGTCTGCGCTGCTGCCTGACCGCATCCGTTATGCCTCTGCGAAGGAGCGTGAAAAGGCGTTTTCGAAGCATTACGGGCACTTCTGCGCGTATTACAAAAGCAGTTGTTTTGTGTCTGTTTTGTTGACACGCCTGGCGATAAGCACGGTGGGATATTTTGACGAGAACTTCTACCCAGATTGCGTGGAGGATGTCGACTACGGCTTGCGCCTCCGTTTGCTTGGATTTCAGGAGCGGAATGTCTTATGCGGCAAACTTCTGCATCGCGGCAGCTCGAATATTCGTTTCTCTAATGAAATGGAGCCACCGGACGCTCTCTGGTACCGTCGCGTCAGGTCTTTGAGTGCGAACCAACCATATGCCATGATGAAGTGGAACCGTCCACGGGCGTGCAGTGGCGGGTGCAAGGAGCCATATGACGGCATGGTCCCCGCAGAGGTTTGGGTGAAGGATGAGGCACGCATACAGCGCGTTCGGGTCTACGGGCATGACGAGGAGCAAGGGGTCCCAAAGGTTGAGTACGACAGGACTCTTTTGTACCCTTTCACGACGAAAGGAAGATGAACTGGCGCCAGTCGCAAGTTTTTTGTTTTTATTATTTTATTTTATTTTTCACTTCAAATATTGAAAGTTCTTTTTTATATTTACACAAATGATATTTAAGCGAGTACGCCGTGGGTTTTAAAGAGCGCAACCATATATTTGGCATGACAGGGGAGGGGAGGGCGCAGCGTCCAAACTTGGCCGTGTTGCCGAGGGTAGGAGAGGGCGGCAGCAAGCAGGAAACATGATGATGATGGATGAGGGAGAAATAACAGGGGAGGGAAGCAGAAAACAAGCCAAAAATATTCTGAGCACAACGCTGTTTCTTGTTGTGGGCGATCGACGCCGCCATTGGCTACTGATTTACCCACTGAAGGTGACACCCGTTTCCGCTGGATATGCTGCGTGCATATCTGTCGGGCTCTTTTTTTGTTGTTTTGTTTGTCTCCCGCACATTTATTTCTCCGTGCCGCCTGACCCACTCGTTTATTATTCCCCTCCCTGTTTTTGTGCGTGCACCGAGAGAAGGGCTCGGGGACATGAAGTGCGCTCCCCTTCTGTGAGATGCCACCAAAAACAGGAGGAGAAAAAAAAGAAAAGTGAAGTGGGGAGGGGAACCATCGCCACGCGTCCTTTTCTCCGAGAAGGCTGCTTGCCACGCCACTGAGGCGCGCCGTGTGCTTCACGAGGTCCGCTGGACTTGATTGGGGAGCCGTGAAGGATGGTGCGTGTGAGTGTGGCGGATGCGTCTCCCAGGCGTCCCCAGAGGACCCTCTGGCCATTGGGACTGCGCGGAATGCGGGAGTCCGCGGGGATATTTGGCCGTTTTGTTTTTATTCCTCCATCCGCCCATCCCAAACCTCAACACGGCGTCTGATCCAACGGCTGCGACGGGATCCGTTGCGTATTTCTGATCCTTTTTTGCGTTGCAGCGGCACACCTGGTGTGTCCTGCTTGGCAGACACAGTGAACGGGAGTGGGCTTCGTTATCGGGAAAACGATGGTCACGGCGGAGCGTGTTGCGCACGTCGCAATTTGGCGTGTTTGTGGCGATCCTTGCGGATGATGTGACGGCACCTGTTTTACTTGCGGGGAGAGAAGCGATGCTCCACGGTGGTGCACACGTTGCGTGTGGAGGCTTCTCTTGCTGTTATTTTGTGAATGTTTATTTTTTGCTTGAACACCACAGAGGGCGGTGTCTGCGGACAGCAGAGAATTGCGAGAAGGGGCAACACACGATTTTTGGCGCGATGAGGCGGCTTCTGTGAATTTACGGTGTTTTATTTTCAGGGTTGAGAGAATATCCTTTGCTGGAATGTATTGTGGGAGACCATCCGCGTACATATATATTTTTTCAACCCCTTGGCATTTGTTGTCTGCCGTGAAACAGATGTTGATGGCCGTTTTGTGGCGGCGAGATGCATTTTTATTTATTGGCGAGTGGGTGAATTGTGTTGCGTTCTGCCACGCGGCTTGTTGCTGAGGGCACGTGGCCGCAGGGAGACGTTGTGAGCGCCTCTGACACGAGGGGCGATTGAGCAGTCATCTCCTCCGCTCGCCGGTACACGCTGTTGAGGCGGCGTGATGATAATGAACCGGCTTCTCAGAAGGGTAAAAAGAGGACGTTTGCTCTTCCTGCTGCGGTTCACGAGTGGACTCTACAATCCGTGGGCGGGGTCACTCTGTGTGCCGTATTTCTTTGAATTTCCATGAGTTTTGCACATCGCCATCCACACGCACATGCACGCAGTCTCCCTGTTTGCCCTCCTGTGGGCGGGAGACCGGGATGCAGAGGGAAAATGTGGCCCGTGCCAGCATGTGGTAAAGTCTTTCTTGGGAGGGATTGCGACTGTGATGTACGTCCTGGTAGGCAGGAATGGGATGGGCGAAGAGCGGAGGGGCGAGTAGCAACGATCGTGTGCGGGGCAATGCGCAGTGAGTAGGGCGGAGTGGTATTTATGTTGAGTTTTCAAAACATTTTTGCCTTTTTCTTTTGTGGCAATGGAAAGAAACTTTGGGTGATGAGTTGTGGATTATTTGCACATGATTCAGCGCGGCAACACCATTTGCGGAGAAAATGAATGGCATCTGCGTGCGGCTTGTTTTGTGAGCGCGAGATGGTCGGGGAGGTGCTCAACGCCCCGAGAGGCCCGGAGCAAAGAGGCGTGCACTGCTGCAAGCGGAGGGATGCACGCTCCTGTTGGTGGCGTTGCTGTGGAGCCCTGAATGGCCTGCAGGGAATTTGTTTCCGCCGCCTCATTATTTTTTTGATTGGTGCTTGCCGAGGCCTTTTGAGGCGGGGCGTGGGATGGACCGAGAGAGCGTGTGTCGTGTGACTGTGCTGTGAATTGATGCTGCCCACGTTTGTGCAGATACTTCCTTTTGTGACCGCGTCCTTGCCGCGGCGGTACACCGGGAGTGTGTGACCGATCACTGTATCACTTGCGGACTGTTTTGGCAGGACTTTGAATGACGCCGCCGAATGATGAAAGTCCACGTCCATTTGTGTGTGTGTGTGTGTTGGCTTCCGCCGTGACTTGCCGTGTTTTTTTTGTTTTTTTGTGTGTGCGATGTTTTTCCGTGATGTCCATTACAGATTCTGTTTTGTTCCGCACTTTGCGTGAGTGATGTGCTCTGCTCTGCTTCCCGCTGACGTGCCTGATGTGCTGCCGCTGTTGCTGCTGTACTCTCCACTTCTTGAACACAGACACACGCTAGGAAAGCAAGCAATCAAACGCGAATCGCTACTGTGAAATTCGAAGGCATTGAAAGGACCAACAACAGCACACACCGCCCACACACACATATTTATATGCTCTCACGTGTTGCTGCTGTGAAGGCACCCCGCACACACAACCGTCGCCGCGTGACCGGATCCAGCGGAAGGAGGAGGGAAGGAAGAGAGAGTGAGCTGCAGAGGCCCAACATGTCCCGGCATCACTTCTGCTCTGCGGTGCTGCTACTCGTCGTGATGATGTGCTGCGGCAGTGGAGCTGCGCACGCTGAGCAGGCAGGGGCCACTGTTGATCCGTTTAAGGGGAAGACGCCGATACCGCTTACTAATTGGAAGGAGTTTAACGGGGACGGAAGGAAAATCACCTCGCTCCGTGTTCCTGGCCTCGTTAAAGTGGGTGAAGATGTATTTGCCGTTGCTGAAGCGCAGTGCGGGGAGGAGAAGGGAGCCGGCCGCCGTGCTGGTATTGTGTCAAAGCACCTGAATATAAGTGGCAGTGCATTGGATATTTCTACGTCGGATACAAGTTTGTTTTGCATGCAACTTGGGGACACCGCCGCGAATAATTTTGGGACAACAGAATTGTTGCGACCAACGACGCTTGTGCTTGGGGACAGTGTTTACATGCTCCTGGGAAACCAAAGCCGTACAAAGCCGCAGGTTGAAGGCAC